TCCAATGAAGTACAGACCAGGTATGGCAATAGATCATTTTGGCATAACTGAAACATATATCACCAATTTATTAAATGTGTTCTGAATAATATCATGATATTCTTCTCTATCTGTTTTAGTGTAAATGACTTCACTTTCGGTTTGATTCATATGAAAACATAATTATTTATCACAATAAATAACATAACACAAATATAAATTGTGTAATTTTTCATATTCTTAAAATTGATTGTGCTATCAAATAAATAGAGAAACTGGTTGTGTAATAAAATTATTATAAGAATAATTATTTTATATGATATTATTACAAAACAACTTTATAATTTGTTTGTTTTTTTTAAATTAAAATAATAAAAAAAGATATTTAAACAAACGTTTCTCGTTTTAAAACAAAAAGATAAAAACTCATGGCAAATTTTAAAACAAATAAAATTGGTGTTTTAATATTTTTTCAATTAAGTTACTATTTTGAGTTATTATAATACTTATTTGTTCCAATTTAAAACTAAAAAATTCTTGTAATATAAAAGCCTTTATATACAATTAATTTAATTGTTATTCTGATAACAACAAAACGAATTTTGAAGTAGTAATACAAACGTTTCAACGTTTATTCTACCACTTCAATTTATATCACATAAGAAATTTTATATAAACAACTTTATAATATGATATTATTTTATTTTTAAAATAATTTACTATTTTGGTAAGTGACACTTCTGCAATTTTTAAAACTGTTTTTCTGAACAGTAATTATTGTATTGGGCACCACAACATCAAGTGAAAGACATCCTTTAAAACACCCAGAAGTGATTTCCTTGATAAGACTTGGTATTTTTATTGTTTTTAAACTTTCACAATGACAAAAAGCGCCCTCTCCAATATGGCACACACTTTCTGAAATCACAACACTTTGTAATGTTATACATTCATTAAAACAGTAACAACCAATACTAGTCACACCATATGGTACACAAATTGTTTGTAATTTTTGACATTCCCCAAAACACATTTGTGGGATTATCAACAACTTTACTGGCAGTTTCAAAGTACTCAACGAATTGCACCCATTAAAACAATAATTTCCCAATTTTGAAACACTACTTGGTATTTCTAGATGACTCAAAACATCACAATATTGAAAACACTTGTCGCCAATTTCATCGACATCCCCTCGAATTTCAAACCATTTTAAACTGACACAATATCTGAAAGCTTTATCTCCAATACAACACTTCTTATTATCTTGTATTGAATTATTAAATTTCAATTTATCATCAATTGCATGTAAACGTGAAGGAACGGCAATTTCCTGTAAATTTTTGCAACACTCAAAACACGAATTTGGCAAATTACACAAATTTTCAGTGAATTTTACTGATGATAAATGTTTGCAATTGCAAAAACAGTTTTCTCCAATTTCTGTGACAAACGTAAGAGATTCAATGGCTTCAAGTTTTCTACAATTCAAAAAACAGTTTTTTCCAAGTATATAGACGTTACATGGAAGTTTTAATAATTTCAAATTGCACTCTTCAAAACAATTGTCACCCAACGAAGTGACATTTTGAGAAATTTGAAATGAAGTAAAATGTACCAATTTAAAATAATTGTCTCCGATTTTTTTGATGTTGTTTGGGATTTTTTTTCCATATTTTTCACCATCTGTTGTTGTGTATATCACATTTTTGAATGAAACGTTTGTGTTTTTGCATGTTTGTGTTGATGTGTAATTCACTTCGAACCACACATTAATTCTGAAAAAATCAAATTTGGGGGATAAGTATATCTGTTGATTTTGAAATATATTATTTCCAAACGTTTCATCTAAAATCGACCAAATGTTTAACGTTTCAATTTTTGGAAAGTATTTTATTGTTTTATAATTAATTGGGATTGGATTGGTGTGGAACTTTTCGGTGTTAAATCTGTATTTCTTATTTACGAATTCAAGCATAATAAAGTCGTTTATTGAGGTAAAATACTGAGAAACCACCATCATGTTATATCCATCAATATGGCTCATTTTTATGATTTTTAAAGTTTAAAAGCATTTCTTAAATATAAATTAAAATAAAATGACATTTAAATTAATTAAAGAAAATCTTTAAACATCATTTTATATCTAAAAAAATAATTTATCATAAATGTAATTTATATTATTTTTTCAGTTTTATATGAAAAAAAAATAAAAAAGTTGATGTTTTATTTTTTTGCCGAGTGTAAAAACACTAAAAAAAGGAAAAACCTGTTTGAGCTCCTTTGTGGATTTTTATCCTTGTGATTTTAGTAAAATTAATATTCAAACGATAACATAAATCACTAAGATATTCGAATTATTGTTATTTTGCACCATCTCCAAGTGTTTTATAATTTGTAGCAATTTGCTAAGACGATGAAAGTTTGTAATAAGCGTTTTTGTCGCCACTTGAAGTGACATTTCATCAACATGATTCACATAAATTCATAGAGTGTTTATATTATAAACATACACGCTTTCAATTGTAGAGAATAGTACGTCTGTTTTTTCTAACAAGATTAACTCCGACAACCGTCCCTAAAATTAAGTATCTTTATCATAATATTCAACATTAAACATATTACTCAATTTGATATTGATATTAAAAATTTTAAAAACGAACTGTTTTTGTTTAAACCTTTAGTTTTTATAATCAAAGGCGTCTTTTCTATCAAGGACTCGATCAGATATTATCGTTTTGAAATTTTGAATATTATTTTGTATAAATGTTATTCAAAAAATATTTTTGTTTTACAATTTCGGCAAAATAGTATGTCGTGTTTTAATGGAAAAAAATTCTGGGAAAAAAACACAAAATAAACTCCAACGTGTTAAAACATCATTTTATATCCAAAAAAATAATTTATCACATCCATTAAAATATAAAAACACTAATATAAATTGAAGTTTAAAATAATAAATAATTAATACAATTAATTGGGTTTGCTGTTTTTCACCGGCACCAGTGTACCTTTATTCAAATAACATTTTATAAAAACATTTTTGTTTTACATTTTTTTACTATATTTATTTTAAAAATTCAAACAAACCCTTTAAGCAATTTTGAATAATTTTATAATCAACCTAACTATGATAATCAATAAAAAATGGAATTTAGAGGAATGATCATTGATCACATTTTGGATTTCAGTGAAAAAGAAGATGAAGACAACAAGAAAACGCCACTAAATATCATTGAACAGATGAAAGAGATTTTTCAGTCTATACGTTCGAAAAACAAGCTAAAAACATGAAAAAAGCTTCAGTGCTAACAATTGAAGGTGGTCAATTCTCACTGTTTGTGACTTCAAATAGTCATTCAAATTGCAGAAATCAGACATTTAAATGCGTGTACACAAATTGTCCATGCAAAGTTGTACTCACACTTTCAATTGTAAAAACAGAAGTTGAAAAAATAACTTTTTATCATTTACACACTCACAACTTTATTCACCTCCCGGAAAAAGTCAAGCCATTTTTCACTGAAGAAATTCTCGCTCAAATGAGAAGTCGTCTCAAATTGGGAGTTACTCCAGATAATATCAAAGACGAATTTGGGCTACCTTTTTCTAGCAAAGTAGTATCTTCTATTCTTCACAAAGAAAAGGAAGAACCAGGCATGTTTCAAGCAAAAACACTTCGTGAATATTTTAACACATTAACACAATGGTCGACAATTATATACACAAACAAACGTGGTATTTTTCAAGGTTGTGTTGCGGTACACATGGCATTGTGTAATAATGATAATGCAAGTGAAATTATTATTGATGACACGTGTGGCACTAATGAATTCGGAATGCCTCTCGTTGTTGGTATATACATTGACAAAACAAAACACTCTCATTGTCTTTTTTTCGCTTTAATGACAGATAGGACAACATCTTCATTTCTTCTTGTTTTTAAGTTTCTCAAGAGATTTATTACAATATCTGTAGCTATCTGTGATCGCTGTTTGAGTCAATCGAATGCTATCCTTCAAATATTTCCAGGTGTTAATTTGATATATTGCACTCGACATATCAGAAGGAATCTAATTACATTTTTTGGTAAACACCATCCAATCATCAAGATATACAACAAAGTTGTGTTTGATAATAATACACCAGAAGATGTGCTCATCAAAGAAATGTACAGAATGCTAAATCAAGATGATGAGTCACAAATTGTAGGAGATGTGTCAGATGATTTTGTGAATAGCAACGGTAACAAAATTTTGGACACAATACGGGAGACAATTGAATCTTTAGTTGAAAACACACAAAATGCAAAATTGACAGGAAAACCTTTGACCAAAGTAAGAATGATACGAGATCTTCTTGAGTGTGCAAAGAGTTGGTTGCCCAGTTTTACATCGTTAATAACTCAAAATACAACTTCTAATGGAATAGAAGGTTTTTTTGGCTGGCTTAAAAACAAGATTGATCACAAAAAAATGACTTTATATGACATTACAAAAGTGATAATTTCATGTGCAATTACTCTTGAAAATAATTCACGTTTTTCTAAACTTAACAAAGATGACATTGAATATCTTGCGGTGTATTTCGATGAAAGTGTTTTGAAAAGAATCACCGAAGACACCTTATGTGGTTTAATCAGGTGTATTCACACTGTACACAATCCACTTTTGATGTCGGTGTTTGAAAATCAATCATGTACAACTTCATTAGAATCATGCACTTGCAAGTCTTATGAAATTAATGGATATCCATGTCCTCATATGCTTTCGTTGTATATCACAACTTTCAAAAGAGTCCCATTAAAAGTGTTTAATTTGAATTGTCTCAAAGTTCATACAACCAAAATTATCCACGAATCATGTGTTATAAAATCGGAAGTACCTGATAATTTTTCATATAATGATTATCAAATGTTACTTGAAAAATATTACGCAAACATTCAAGCAAATCCCACAATACTGCCAGCTGTTATTAATATTTTGGAAAATAAAAAAGTGTTATTAAAAGAAGTGGGAGAAAACAAAAAAGAAAAAATTAAAATAAACGGCAATACAAGACTCTCTTTAACAAGAACAAGTACATCGATTGTATAAATGAATGGAACACAAACTGGAACACAAATCACAACATCTTTAACATTGGACAACATTCAAGACCCAGCAAAAATTACCAAAAGAAAACAATTAAGAGCCGCGACTGTTGTTGATTACGCTGAAGGAACTAAATTTCCACCAAAACGCAAAAAAATACTTTCCAAAGAACAAATAGATTCGAACACTAAACATAGAATGTGTTTCATATGTAAAGGACAAGGACATTACACAAAAATGTGTTTTCAAAAAACGAATTAAACCTCTAAATTACTTTTTATTCATCTATTTCATATTAAATATTATTTAGAAAATATAAAAATTTACATTTAACCAATTTTTTTATTTTTTTAGAATCACTTTGTATTCTTAAACTTAATAATGTAAAACAAAAATGTTTTTATAAAATGTTATTTGAATAAAGGTACACTGGTGCCGGTGAAAAACAGCAAACCCCAATTAATTGCTTATTTAAATAATTTTATGATTTAAATAAATGAAAAGTTATAACAACAAAGTTCTTTTTTGTACAATAACATTTAAAATTTTAATAATAAAAAAATAAAAATTGGAACAAAACAGCTCAAGAACTTAATATATTACAATAATGTTGAATATTGTATTCATGTTTTGCATCACTTATTCAATTTCGAAAAAAGTTCAATGGTGTTTCTACGTAAACATTATTTTTTGTTATCAAGAAGACTTTGTATGTCCTTATAATAATCTAATTAAGTCATTCAACACTCAAATTGTACTTAATAGAACTGTATTAAGACATTACAAAGAATTAAATATCAAATGTAATTTCACAAATAAATTTAGTCTTTCTTTTAGTGACGAATTGAACTCGGTTTTTCAATTTGAATTTTCAGAAAAGAGAACGCAGTACATTTTAAATAGTACTTTATTGCAAATTATTGAATCCGACGAAGTTTATCAAAACAAATTAACAAAATTACAAAATGAAAAAACCACTAAAATGTATACAAAAGGTGTGTTATGTGCCAATGGGACATATTTAAATGGACAAAACTGTTATTATTGTGACCAACCTTGTCAAACTTGTGAAGACTTTTCTATTAACAACTGTAATGATTGTTCTTCTGGTTATTATAAAACTAACAATTCATGTTTTCAATGTCATCCTTATTGTGAAACGTGCATTTCAAATAAACAAAACAATTGCTTAAAATGCAAACCAGGGTTTTATTTAGTAGATGGCTCTTGTTATTTATGTCCAAAAAATTGTGCAGCATATAATTTTCGTCAATATTGTACAAAATGCAAACCGACATATTACCTTATTATTTTAGAGAACGTTTGTTTGAAATGCAAAGAAAATTGTTTAAGCTGTAAAACGATTACGACATGTAGTACTTGTGAAGATGGGTATTACTTATCAGGAGAGTTTGTAAGAAGTGTGTCACATTTTGTAAAACGTGTCAATTGGAAGTAGCTGTAAGATGTACTTCGTGTTTTGAAGGGTATTATTTGAATTCAATAACAGGTTGGTGTTTTCCATGTAATTCTTCGTTGTGCTCCATATGTACAGATGGCAAAGAATCGAGTTGTGTTCTATGCAAAGAAAATTTATACCTTTCAAATGGCAAATGTTTAAAGTGTGATTCAACATGTAAAACGTGTTTTGGACCGAACAATGACAACTGCAATTCATGTGACAACAATTCTTATCTTATTAATAACACATGCAATAAATGCTACAGTTATAGATGTTATCAGTGTTATAACAACACTATGAGTGGATGCTATTTGTGTCAACCGGGCTATTATGTATCAGCTGGAAACTGTAAACAATGCAATTCAAATTGTTTGGAGTGTACAGCTTCTATAACATGTAGTACCTGTAATAATGGGTATTACCTTAATGTTACATCGAAAAAGTGTTTACCATGTTATTATACCAAATTGTGTGCATCGTGTTCTAATTCAACGAGTGTTGGTTGTACACAGTGTAATCAGGGGTATTACCTTTCCAATAAAAAATGTGTGTTGCATGTCCATTAAGTTGTACGGCTTGCAAAGAAATGGGTGATATTACACCAACATGTACAGCTTGTTATACCCCGTTTTATTTGAAGGATGGAGTTTGTATTCATTGTGACGACAATTGTAAAACATGTGAAGATTCTTCCACAACATGTACATCGTGTATTGATGGGCAAATGTATCTCAATAAAAATAAATGTGTTGCTTGTAGTATGTGTAGTCCTTCTCATTGTTTTTCGACTGGATGTTCTCTTTGTAATAAGACGAATTACTACCCAGACGAATTTAATTGTTTTCAATGTGATTCAAGTTGTCTTACATGTAATGGAGGATCTTCTAAAAATTGCACTTCTTGTAAAGAAGGACAATATTTAATGGAAGGAAAGTGTATATTGTGTGATTCCATTGTGGTGAAACAATTGTTCGTCTGACATGGGATGTCAAGAGTGTCAAAACGGTTATTATCCCAAAACAAAATTTGTGTTCCTTGTTCACGAATAA